GGTGAGCGTGAATGAAAATTACAAACCTGTTTGGTAGCACTGTTGAGTACAGAGGCTTGTTGATAATTAAATGAGAAGTTCAAAGTTCTTCTCCAAGTGTGCAACAAATCGACAGCAAAGACAGCTCTGCTCCACACCTCCATCCCTGCCTTAGACTAAAACCCTACAAAGTCCCCCAGAGTAGCCAGAGTTGACATTTGCTGTGCCCTCCACACTGCTTCCTTTCACTGCCCATCCTTCTCCAAGCAGCAACCCAGATTCCTATCTCCTGTCTCCTCCAAGTCCACTCTGTTCTCTTAACAGCTGCGATAGCTGGATGACACCCCACACTGTGTGTTACACCCTCCACAGTGCCCTGGGGCGTGGTTGCCCAGGGGACCACATTTTCCAGCCCCACTTGCCTCTGGGTAGAGCTGCAGACTAGTCCTTCCTAAGGGTATATGAGCAGCGAGGTATGTTCATTTTTGGCCAAGATGTTTTAAGAAACTTCTTCATTCCCCCTCTTCCCTTTCTGCCACTATAAACAGGAGACCCTTAAGAATGGCTGGGCTGCAGTGTGAAATGCGTCTTGGTCTCCGGCTTTCCTGGGGAGAAAAGCTGTCCATTTACCTCGATGCCTATCTTCTACTGTGACATAATTTAGAAACGAACACCTTTTGGGTTGAAATTATGTCTTTGCAAGAATTGATGAAGGGAAGGGAAAGGAGGGAAGGAGGGGGATTAGGAGGAGCGAGAGGAAGGGAAGTATGGTTATCTTCTTAGAACTGTACCTACGAATTTCATGGAATCTGTTCTCTTTATATTAATAAAATAAATTTTAAAAATGAACACTTTCGGGTCAAACCACTAAAATTTTATGGTTTGTTAGAGAAGCAACCCTTGCTCTAGCCTAGACAATAAACTCCAGTTCCTATTTCTTTCTCATTGACCAAACACTATTGCCATGGGGTTAAGTCAGGGCATTCTGAGTACTCCTCTTTTTGCCAGGGGGGTTGTCGTTCTGGGGAGAAGTTCCCACCTTCTCCCCCTTCAAACGCATGTTTGTGTATGCTGAGCATGTGGGAGCTGGGCCTGCCACCCATCAGCATGACGAGGGAAAAATAGTGTTCGCTGGAATCCTGGGTCTGAGTTCTAGTAACACAGCACTTACCTGGTCCTAAGGAGTTACTCAACTTCTTGAGTCATAGTTTTCTCATCAGGAAGAGGGGGAGGGGTGTGCATTGTCATCAAGAAGACCTTGGAATCTCACAGCCTCCAGTATGTGATCCATAAGAACTATGCTAATTTCTTATTCTTTCTAAGTCTTGGTTTTCTCAGTTGTAAAACGTGGACAAGGATATCTGTCTCAAGTCTCATTCACTTATTCACTTTTCATTCAAAACTGTTGAGAATGTACTTTGTGGTAGACATTATGAATATAGAGGATATAGTCATGAACAAGATGAAGTATCTGTCCTTATGAAGCTGCTAATAGTGGAAACAGCAGGTAACAATAAACAAACCCATGTTAAGCTAGTATTGAGTCAAAAGAGCTGTTGTCTGGAAATAGCTTCCACGGTGCTTGATACATGGAAAACACTGGAAGTAGGGACTATTAAACGTATTAATGGTAAGCATGAAAATGTTTAGTACTTTGATCCAATTGTATCTGATGGCTTTTGTAAGGATTAAATGAAGTATGAGTTTATGAGTGATTTATAATGATCTACTTACATGGTGATTAGTTGAAGCAAATATCAAGAAGAATATGTTAAGTTCCACGTGACAATTTGTTCACACCAAGTTTGGGGCATTTTTCCTTGGCATGAGCTGCTTTCATCTTGAAAGCAGAGAAACCACAGTTATAATCTATCCCATGCCCCATGCCAATGTGGATCCTTTTGCTGAAAAACCGCACAGGAGGCCTCAAGCAAAAATCGATTAATCTCGGCTCAGTTGAGTGAGAGAAGCCTTCAAATGGCCTCTGCATCCTGGCATTGGCACAGAGGGGGAGAGGAGTCTCCAGACCTTGAACAGAGGCTCTGATCTGATGCACACCAGTGTCTTTCAAAACCCTGGTGTGAAATAACTCTGCATACCCCTGAGGAAAAATGGAGTCAAATGCATGTACAAGAAAGAGAGTAGGTGAGAGCAGGCAAGGAAAAATAGATGCAAAGCACCCTCTTGTTTTCACATTCTTACCATGTGATTTTTCTAAAGACTGCTAAGCAGAGTGCAGTGTTAGCTGATAGTCTGAGTTGCATAAGCAGGCTGTCCACAACATTCATCATCCAGCGTGGGACACTTTTGAGAGTCAAAAGGGACAGTATTATAATTAAAAGAGGAGAGCAGGAGTAAGTCAAGACTATCCCAGGTGGCAAAACAGGACAATGTTCACCCTAGGCAAAGGCCCTTAGGAATAGAACTCTTATTGATTTTTTTAAAAGATTTTATTTATTTATTTGAAAGTCAGAGAGTTACACAGAGAGAAGAGAGGCAGAGAGAGAGAGAGAGAGAGAGAGAGAGAGGTCTTCCATCCGATGGTTCACTCCCCAGTTGGCTGCAATGGCCAGAGCTATGCCAATCCGAAGCCAGGAGCCAGGAGCTTCTTCTGGGTCTCCCACATGGGTACAGGGCCCCAAGGACTTGGGCCATCTTGTACTGCTTTCCCAGGCCACAGCAGAGAGCTGGATCAGGAGAGGAGTAGCAAGGACCAAGGACTAGAACTGGCGCCCATATGGGATGCTGGCGCTTCAGGCCAGGGCTTTAACCTGCTACGCCACAGTGCTGGCCCCTCTTACTGATTTTTAATACTTGTGGAATTTTTTGGAAAGTGACTGTATTAGGTAACACTAAACTACTATTTGTCACAGTGAGAGCAATACTAAATATTTTTTATTCTCTGTCCATTATGTGAAATAAATTGTGCTCTGCCTTAGAGGAGGTACAAAGTGGTCTGAGATGTGTCCCCACGCCCCAAGGAACTTGAACTGAGAAGCCAGAAAGTAGAGTAGACAAGCCCTCCAACAAGGCCTGGTAAGGTATGGGTAGCATGCTTCAGTAGGAAACCTGTGGAGCAAGGTTTGCTCAGAAAGCACTGGGGAGTGAAATGAGGGTAGGAATGGAAGGCAAAAGGAACCACAAGTGAAAGCTCACTGTGTACATATACCGAGTGTTCTGTTGCATATAGAACAGGATCCGTCCATTCAGTCGAGCTTGGCAGGTGACAGACAAGAAAAAAAGCATCCCTAGAGATTAGGCACCTTCCCAAGGTCTTATAACAAAGTTATTTTGACTCAAACAAAACCTCTGTGCAATTGTAGGTCGCGTGCACTTAACCATTGTCCTGTAAATGCTCTGTTCAAAAGCAGAAGCCACAGTAGAGGAAGGAGCAGTTTTACAGTGGCAGGAAGGCACGATTTACTTATTTCATAGCTTTGCCAAAGATTAGCCCAGAGACTGAGAGCTGTGACCCTTCCAGTGATCCATGGGCAATGTCAAGGGGTCAGGTACATTTCTGAAAAGTTATAAAACTCAGACATCCAAGTTCAGCACTGAAGAATTATATCCATGAACTATATGGAATCTGTCCTTTTATATTATTATCACATTAGCATGAGAACTAATGAGAAAAAATAAATACCATGGTTACTATAGAAATTAATAAATAAAATAAAAATGTTAAAGTACATCATATGCAATTATATTTCTATTGAAATTAATATTTCTACTCTTGAACACTTCACCCAATGTGAAATGATGGTTTCCATCATTCTTGCTGTTTACATTACCAAGATGTCCCACATTTGATGGGACATTGGAATTCCTTCAGTAAACATGGTCAACTCATGTTCTGTTGGTTTAAGTTCTTCCTATAACTCAGACAGTGTCTATGTTATACTTATTTAGTCAAAAGTTTGACATAATTTCTTACTTCACCAATTCCTGGGTCCTCTTCTCAAGTAAAGAAAATGTCACCTAACATATAAACTGTTTTCAAACAAGGACTAGGCAGTTACAAGTTTATTCATGATACTTTCACCACTGTGTCCAGGAACCAAATCTTGTGTATTAGAAGAGCTGTATGTTTGGAAGACATTCATATGTAGGACAGGACAGTGGTGACTAATAATTGTTTCATAAAAGTTCTCATTTAGTTGATAATTACCCAGTTATGTCTTTAGTTATAATATATACTGCACTTAAAATAATAAAACTCCATTTTCTTGAAAAGCATTCTGTAATTGAATTTTTTCTTTAAGTCACAAAAGCCTCCCCATAATTTTGGAGCTTTTCAAGTTTTGCTCTGTTGCTATATTGTTGTGTTCAGGCATCATGCTAAACAGTTTAGAATTAAGTGTGCCTAAATTAGCCCAACAACTGTTTGCCTAACTTGCCTCATCCTAAGATTTATCTCTGAGGTTCTGATTCACCAGATCTTGGTTACAACCCGAGAAGCTTCATTTTCAACAGTCATTCCAGAATTATAATGTAGGCATATCATGGTCTCACATTAAGAAGTACCAAATTAGAGGACTTCCAAGTTCCTTATTTCCTCTTGACATAAATCTGAATTAATCCCAAAGAACACAGTGTAGTAAAAGTGTGAATTTATGCCAGCTATATGTGAACATACATGTGGTTGGCATGTATGTTTTGAGACTGAGAAATTCATTTGTAAAAAGGTAAAAATCCCCTAAAAAAGAGAATTTATGGTGATTTTTCTCATTTCTCCCCATTTCTCTCAAGGTGAAGTTTAATTTTCCATGACCATCATTTCATCAAGTGATGCATATTCACACATAACTTTTCTTTGAGAGAATTCAATATACTGATCACCTGCAGGGCCTTTTCTTTGCAATGGAATGAGTTGTATAATTTCACACCTTTGAATTCTTATTGATAATTGTGCATGATTTGTTATTAGGACAAACACACATCAATAGGAACATTGAATGCTACAAATTATACGCACAAATAACATGAAACAATCTTCCATTTTTGACATTTTGTTGGGCAAATATATTTTATATACTTCTTGGATGTTGAAAATTAAACTAGGTTTTAATCAATTATTCAATCACTTTGAAACAATTTTAAATACTTATTAATTTATTCAACTTATCAACTTATTTTGATACAATTTTCCAACTAAATAAAAATATCTTAAAATATGACTTCATCTTGCTCTCTAATTTTCAAAGTATATGATTGCTACAGTAGGAGGTTATTAATGTCTTTCTGTTAGTTCACAAACTTGCTTATTTTCCCCTGACAGCCAGTAACCTCTTGGTTTGTAACAAAGGTTTAATGAACAAATTCAGGAGTACTATGGTATTGTAAAATGAAAGGTCTGCAAAACATACCACAAGACACTTACTAGCAGCCATATATATTATCATTAGTAATTAAAACTACATTACCCTTGTCAAAATGAATGAAAAAATGACTCTTATAGCCTGCTACTCTTGTATTTTATCATGTTTGTTTCTCATCTGCTTATCAGGGTGTTTCATGGGGTCTTCCATTGCAGTTTATGCTTAGCCTGGTAGCAAAATTAGAGAGCAACATGAAAGAAGATGATAAATTCATCTCTTGTTTGTGCACCAGGGATCCACTGTGCAAAATCCTATAATCTGAAGTGGGTCTCCCCAATGTCATTAGTGAGTAAGCAAAGTTATACTTTCCTTATCATTTTAGAAAAGTATTTTAATTCCTACTCTTTACTTCTCCCCCTTTAATTTCTGATACACATAAACTTACTTGGTACATGAAAAACTTCCTTGTGTAGATGGTGATGAAATGGAGACAAAGAAAATGATAACCAGTCTTTCCTTTCTGTAAATGCTGCCTATTTATTTATCCAACCGACATTTTTTGAGTACCTACCATGTGCCAAATTCTGGGCAAGCAATAGAGAAACAGCAGTAAAATCAGTAAGGTATTTCTTGCCCTCCCAGAATTCTGATTGTAGAGACTAATGCATGGATGAATTGATTGAAATAGAACATGGCAAATGCAATGATACACATGTGACTGCTACACAGGACACATGTGTACCATCTACACATGGCAGACAGAAAGGAGCATGTGGGACACATCTAACTCAGAGAAGGACCATCCAGGAGGCCTGTGTGTAAAGCAGTTGGGTTGAGAATTACAGTAAAGGCAGAGGAGAAAGATTGGAGGGGAGGGGACCCTGAAGGCCATGACCTGTGTATAGAGTGACAACGTGTATAGGGAACAGGAGCAGAGATTGTGTTGCAGAATGGGGAAAGCTCCATGTTATGGACTGAATTATGTCTCCCTTCCCCAGAAAAAAAAAAAAAACGTAGTATGTTGAGGCTTCAATCCCCAGTGTGACTCTGTTTGGAGGTAGGGCCTAAAATGGAGATAATTAAGGTTAAATAAAGTTATAGGAATGGGGTCCTAATTCAATAGGGCTAGTGTGCTTGTAAGAAGAAGAAACCAGAGTCCCATGGTGGGAGAGAAGAGATCATGTGAGCATGCAGTGAGACAGTAGTTCCCTGTAAGCGAAGAGAAGAGGTGTCCAAAGGAAACTGACTTTGCTGGTGTCTTGTTCTGGAACTTCCCCATCTCCTCAGCTGTGTGAAATCAGCTTCTGCTGGCTGAGTCACCCAGTCTGTGGTGTTGTGCCATGGCAGCTCTGGCACATGAGGACACTCTCTAAGAGGCAGGGCTGAAAGGGCTTGGCCTGCAGTGCTGAGGAATCTGGATTGCAAGTGCTCCACAGCCATTTCTCTGATCACTGTCATGATCGCATTTGGGCTATTGGAAGACTGCTGTGTTGGTAGTGGTGAGCAAGGGAGGGAAGATAGACTGAGGTCGTGAAACACGTGCAAGGACGAGTGACAGGAAGATCAAAGAGCTCTGTGTCAGGAGCAGCAGGAGGCCTGCTCTTCTACTGCCCGCCCTGGATCTTGGGGCAATCACCTTACCCTTCTGTGCCCGACTGCAACTCCTGTAAGATGAGGAGAGCAGACTCATAGTGGTCTCCACAGTCTCACATGCTACACAGCTCTCTCTGAAGATGAGTCCCTCCCCTGTGCCAGGCTGCGTTTAAACCTCCTGACAGGCTGGAGCCAACTGGATCAAGGGGGATGCCTGGATAAGGCTCCTTCTTTCAATACTTTGGGATGAGAGTTACAATGTCTTAGTACTGGGGGCTGCTATAGTCGAAATGTGTGTGTCCTCCCAGAGTTCACGTGTTGAAACCTTATGCATGTGTACTAAGAGGTGGGAACTTTGGAAGCAGAGCCCTCATGAATGGAATTAGTACCTTTAAGGGAGCTTGTTTATCCCTTTTGGAACATAGAAATGTGGGAAATAAATTTTTATTGTTTATATATTACCCAGTCTAAGATATTTTTATTAGAAGCTTGAATGGACGAAGACAAAGAGGAAGGCACATTAACAAGTTTTTGAAATCCTACTACTGCATCCCTAGTATGGCCCTTGTTACCCTCTCCCTGAGACCTGATTGATTGACTTTTTCTCAGATTATACTTGAATTCTTACCTCCAGATATTTAGCTCCTCTTTTGTTCCCTTATACTAGCTTTAGTCCATTTGTATTATTTATAACCTGAAATCTCTCATCAGTGTCGCTCCCCCTCTTCATGGAGGAACGACACTAAGCCCTGCCTAGGCTTCATATCCGAGTCACGGCACCATTATGTCGCTCCCCCTCTTTGTGGAGGAACGACACAGGACCCTGCGCTGTTCTTTCGTCTGCTCGGCCCTCCCCGGGTTTGCTGCCGGTTCTTCCCGGGTTGGCTACTGTCCCTTCCACCTCCGTGGAAGGGCGGTTCCCCCTGCCACTTTCCCCACTTCCGCAGGGGAGCGGCACACCGCCGGCCGGCTCTCTCGGGGGCTGCACAGGTGTTCCTTCAGATAGATGTTCCCCTTAGATGTTCCTGGTGCATGTTGTCTCTCCTCCTTTATAGTCCTCCTCCACCAATCCCAACTCGGCTGCCCACACGCCAAGTACGCTGCTCTCCTCCAATCAGGAGTAGGTCCTACAGTTTATTGGTTGAACTGGAGGCAGCTGTGTAGAAGCTGTTTCTCCTCTCCCAGCGCCATATTGTGGGAGAGCAGATGCATAGAATAAGTCTTAATTCCAGTAACTTAGTCTAGTCCGAGTTGCTCCCAGTTGCTCCCCACACATCAGAACAACTTCCTGATTAACATTTGACGAATGTGAGATAAGGGCATGACACACATATGTGGCTGGCCCAGGATCAGCCATATTCTGTCCAAACTAGAGGAGTGGTTATTGGAGCATTCTAAGATCTTCAGTCCTCCTACAAGGTTTCTCCACTCTTCTGCTCACGTGCCTGAATTCTTCACTATAGCAGGCATACATCTGCATGAGGAATGTCTGCAGGGCCACTGTCCAAGTAGCCTTGGGTTGTTAGGCTCATAACTTTCTCATCTAGTAGAAAAAGGTCCCAAGGAGGTAGGTTGTGGGGACGAAGAAAGAAAATAACTGGATCCAGAAAGTCAACAGGCTGGAAACAAGATCCCAGAGAGCTGAGATCTGTTGGTGGTAGTCACAGGGTCCAGGTGATTCTGCATGTGGGGGAACAGTGCTTCAAATGGGGGAATGGAGAGGGGTATCCATCAATGAAATCATCCAATGCAGAATTTACAATTTTAGTGTGGGCCAACTTGGATCAGAGTAGAATATATAGGAATTTCTATCAGAGTTTGGTTTGGGGTTTCATGTTCACCATGGAGAGCTGTTCGCCTTTCCAACCGTGTGAACAGAGCGCTCCTCTAAAAAAACCTAACTGAAAAAATTCTGAGAAGAGTCTTGGGAAAAATACAAGCTTTAAGGTCAGAGGCTGGAGATACGAGGTTTGCTGTACCACTTACTGATCACGGGTGTTAGTCATGTCATTCAACCTCCTGCACACTTCAGTTCTGTTTCTTCCAAAGCGACTATGCGTAGAGATGAAGTGAGGTGTTCTATGGAAAGATGATTGATACATGTTCATATTAAAAGACAAAAATATATAGCTACCGAGTTAAATAACATTTTTCACAGGCAAAAATCTTTATGAGGGTGCTCTTAAATGAGAGAAAACTAAGAAATAATTGTGTATCAGAGATTGTTCGATTTTATGTTTTGCTGCAAACTCAAGGATCCATCTAGAACTAGACATGATTTCTCAGAAGAGCTTTTGTACTGTGACAGCAGCCTTTTTGCTCTGTGCCTACTGACATTTTGCGATTATTTAATGAAGGTCGCTCTGGCTGGAAACCCAGAGCCCATGTTAGAATTCTCACCTTCTGTGTGCTCTAAAGCAGGTGGCAGACCTCTCTGTGCTGTAGCTTTTTATGTATGAAAACAAACACAAGCCGTATCTTAGGGGTTTTCTATGGGAAATAATTACCAAAAGTGATAAGTAAGCATTCTTTCTCCCAATCAAGTGCTAAGTAGTTTAGTTGTATGTATATTGACTGTATAGTATTTTAGGTAAACTTTGGAAATAGGCACCCATCTCCTTCCCCAACAGTTTTTGCTGACAGAATGAAAAAGCATGCTGATTCTGTTCATTTCACCCTTTCACTTTGTTTCACAAGGAAGCAGGTGGAGTGTCTACAGTCAAACATGAGCTCACATGAATGGTGTTAGAGAATGATCACCATGGAAAGATAGTACTGTATGCAGTGGATAACCTTAAGTTCCATGCTTTTGAGTGACAATTCTGTGTGCTTTTTAGGTGATAAAGGAAGAATTCACCGACAAATAAGGGAATCACTGATTGGGAAGTGTGATTGCTGCTGCTGCTGCTACTGCTGCAAACACTGGCCAGCACGCAGCACTTGCTTGTCTGTACTGACAAAGCTGGCTCCGTTCAGAGCCTCAGAGGCCTCCCTTGCCTTGTTTTCGTTGGAAACACTAATGACAGCAGCCATCTGGGCTCTTCAGGGCTACTAAGTTGGCCCACGGTGCCTTCTCCAGTCTTTTTCAAACCCTCCAACACACCCAGCAGCCAGAATGTGTGTTCACAAGGTGGACACCAACCCTGGGCAGCAGTTTCTCAGTCCTCATTAGAACCAAGAGACACCCCTGCGCAGCTTGCTCCATGTCAGCACATCTAGGCAGAGCTACAATTCAGTGATTCTGTCTTTGTTGAGCTATTGAAGGTCTTAAACTGTAGTGGGAAAATCTGGGGCTCCCTTTCCTAGTAGTCTGAGATGCAAATCCTACCTCAGTCTCTAACTCCACTAATTCACTCTGATCGTGGGCAAAGTCCTCAATCTTTCTGAATTGCAGTTTTTTCACAGTAAGATGCACAAGCTGGAAACAGTATTACATTAAATAAAGTGAACAGCCCAAACTAAGGGAGCTTGCTATGTGCTTGTTTTCTTCTCAATTAAAGTCACTGGACTTATTCGGGGTTAGGTATGGTTGCTAAGTTCTTTCTTTCCATGAAACAAGTGACATTAACCACAATAAAACATTCGCCTTTATTGACTGGACAGAGATGAACTAGCATAGATAATGAAAGCATATTTGGGGGATGAGCCTTGCCAAGTGTACTTTGATGTTTTTGTTATACAAGAGCAAAGCCAGATGGAAATGATGAAATTGGCTAAGCTGGGTGCAAAACTATGAGATGAAGGTATTTTTGCACTAGGTTTTACCCACAGAAATATTCAACACCCTCCCCAAGTCATGGAAGAAGAGAGCTTCTACTCAAAGTGTACAAATCGCACAGCCCCCATCCAGATCCTAAGAGTCCTTGAGCAAAGTCTGACCTTGAGTTAAAAGCAGAAATGAGTTGTGAGCATCTGCTTGGAGGCCTCAGATAACACTCTTGCTTATCAAACCTTGATCAGTAAGGATGCCAGAAACACATGGAAAGGGCTTGGGCCTCTGACCTTCCCACTAGAATGTCTGGGAATGAGAGAGGCCACAGTACTTTAGGATGCACCTGAAAGGACAGCTTAGTGAGCCCGAATTCAGTTCCACATGCATTTATCAAACCCTTTGTGCCGGAGTGGCATGAGGAGCATCACAGAGACCAGAAAGCACGTGGTCTCCAAAGCCAGGGTTGCCCCCGAGCAGCAGCAGCTTGGTTTCCACGTGGCTTTTCTCTTGATGTGTTGCAGATTGATCCGGCAACAATACAGCCATTATTATTTGTTGTTTCGTATGTGTGAGCTCACAGAGTTCCAGGCATTATACAGCACACAGTCACAATAGTTTCATAGTCAAGATGGCATTAGATCTGAAACTTCAGTTACCTAATTTAAAAATAGTTCAAATCATGTAATAAATCATGGTGAAGAGAACGGTACAAAATAGAAATTCCTAATTTCTGAATTGCAGTACTGATCTGAGGATTAAGCAGAATGATGAATGGAAAGCACCTAATTTAGTGCCTGGTCCATTTTAGGTCCCCTGATTCACACTGGGATTCACACTGAAGTTTATGTCAGATCAGAGAATAGTCACTGCAAACAGGCTAGCAAGATCACTAGTGTAATTAGCCAATAATCAATAAAATTATAGAATCATTAAGTTGGAAGTGATTTTGAAAATTCATCCGATCTCTTCTGGTAACTGCTCTAAATCTGCCAGCCCTACTTGTAAGTCCAGTGTTTTGCCCTGTCTCAGCGTCTTCAGGATGAATCTACTTTTGAGTTTGCCCTTCATGAGAGTCTAAAACCAGAATAACATCTAGATTTTTTTTTAACAAGCTACATGTGCAAGCCAGGGAGAGATGTTTTTCCTCTAACTTGATAGTCTAACTTCAAAAAGCAAGTGTCCTTACAGAAAGAATGGCCAGACACAGGAATATATCTCTGAGAGTTGTCCTGGTTTCTTTTTAAATTAGGCAATGAATATACTTTTTGACATGCACACACAAGATTTGTAGCAAAAACACCTTTCTTTCATGTAACTGATTTTCCTTTAATCCCAACTTTAATGTATATCATTCCTGATGCATAATCTCAAATGGGCTTTGAACTAGCAAATTCTAACTTTGAATAATGAAGAAAGCAATGACAGTTTACTTTATAGCTGAGTTCAGGATACATGGGGTTGAGGGGCAATGGCAGAATAACTGTTCACCTTTCACCTTGGCACAAGCAGGTAAAGTACTAAAGGGAAGTGATTAGTAAGAGGTGACAATAAGTTAAAACCCAGAGGCTGAGTGTTCCCAATGCATTTGCATTCCCTGGTTTGTAAGGCAGTGTTTAAAATAAAAAACCATCACCAAGACAGAAAAACTGCTATAGTTATATCACAGCAGACTGAGTTGCAAACCTTTTAATGAAAGACATAATTCTTGGGCTGTCTACATCGTACTATATTCTCATGCAAAACACTTTAATGCCTGGTGTAAATTATTTTAGACTTTCTTAGCATGTATTACATTTTTTAATCATGGGTGCTCAGTTCTATTTTCCATTTGGAGTCCAGGAGAGCAATATCTAAATAAAACCAGATGAGCCCACCCCTCCAGCCTCCCCTTCTCTGTTCTGGCTTTCCCCTGCCTCCCTCTCTTCCTCCACACCACACACCTCCACCTGCTGTTTGCCTTCCTGCTCACCTCCAGGACAGCTACAGTTCCTGGCACATCTTCGCTTGGAGATGTAATCTGGTGCTTGATCAGAAAAATGCACAAAAGCAGCTTTTCCCTGGACAGAATGTTGGACAAAGAGGTTAGCAAAAATGCTGCAGCCCACCCTGTAACAGATCCTAAGGCAGAGAGAGGGGCTTTTCCAGCAGAGCTCTGCCCTCTGCGTAGCAGGATGGATTACAGTGGTCACAGAGAGCCACTTGTACTCCGGTGACTTTCTCAGGCTGAAGGAGTTGAAACTATGTGTATAAAGTGACCTAGGCCCCAGGCCCTCTGTACACCTGTGCCGCTTACCTGGCTCCACACTGCTGCCATGGTCATCTTTCTAAAATAGCAATTAGACCACCTTTTCTTAGACATGACACCCATCTTTCATTTCTCCCTAAGATGCAAAATGAATAATTCATATAGTCTATAATTAATGTGTTTTATTTATTTTGAAAAGAGGAGGGGACCATCTCTTCTGATGGTCTACTCCCCAAATACACACAACAGCCAGAACTGGGCCAGGCCAAAGCCTAGTGCCTAGAATTCAATCTGGATCTCCCATACTGGTGGCAGAGACCCAAATACTTGTGCCATCACCTGCTGCACCCCAAGGTGCACATTATTAGGAAGCCTGAATCAAGAACAGAGACAGAACTCAAACTCAGGCACTCCAATATGGGATGTGGCCATTCCCAGTGACATCTTGACTGCTGCTCTAAATGTCCAGGCCTGTCCATGTACCATTTGTATAGCAAATGTCACACTGGGCCACAGCTGATGTGCAGTATCTTCCTTGGCAATCTGTTCAAGAAGTCTAGGGCCCAGATTGATTCACCTAAGCATCCCAGGACAAGGGACAGTGCTGATCTGCCCAGAGTTTGCTGAATGAATGGTATATCCTATGGAGATAGATGTCAGATTTATACACTGCCATTTAAGTCATATATATTTTCATTTCACAATCTCCAAATTGTAAGTTGAAAGTAGGACATACTCTGTGACTGTAGCAGGACTCCATATTCTGTGCTTTGAAGAAAATGTTATGATCATAAAAAATTGAATGTATTTCAACATTTTTAATTCAGGAGAGTAGCAACCAGACTGCATTTGAGGGTTTTTTTTTTTTTTTGAGGGGGAGAGTGAAGAATTTAATACTCTGTAGTACTCTGCAGGAATCCCCTTTTGTCCCTGATTGGAAAAAAATGCAGGTTTTACTTATTTATCCATAACCTTTGGAGGGCTCTATTTTTTCAGCTGGTTCTTCCTATCCAAGTTCAGGGTCTAAATAGAGGGCTGGTCCAAGGTTAGCTAAAGCCCTGGATGAGATGAGTGTTGGCATCTGTTCCTGTGACTATTGATTCTGGGACTGTGCCAAGTCTC